TCGCTGCTGCTCAGGTAAACACACAGCTTCTGCATGGAGACGTTCTGCAGGAAGTCAGGCGTGAAGGACAGCGTGCCGAAGCGGCTCAGGATGAAACCAGTCTGAAATCCACAGCTATGACTTAGCCAAGTTGGGGTGTGAACTCAGGTCTGATATGCCAAGACCCACAGTTCCCAGAATTCACCACCCCTGCCAGCAGGCGTGAGCCTTGGTGACCTCCCTCCACGAGCTCCAAACCCTTCCCAAAGAGGGAGCTGCAGGGAGACTCTGAGACAGGGGAAAGGGCTTTGAACTCTGGGTCAAATCTCGAGACCAGCACTATCCAGCATGGCAGCCTCTAGCCTCCCGTGGCCCTTTTTGCTTGGGCGTAAATCAGTTAAACTGAAATGAAATAGAGAATTCAGTGTTTCAGTCCCACTGGCCACATTTTGAGTGCTCCATCGCTACGTGTGGCCAGCGGCTCGGGTATCGGCCAGCACAGGTGTGGAGCGTTTCTACTGCCATAGAACGTTCTACCAGCGAGCAAGCACCGCTCCAGACAATGACCGGGCCTGCACCCGGAGGCCAGTCGGCCCTCACGCGCCCCGTGCAGGGTGCGGGTGCCCGGGAGCGTGGGAATCACGGGGCTCGTCACTTTATTGTCACGCCTCGTTTAGAAGCGGGACGGTGGCCAAGGCCCGAGAGGAGGGGGCAGTCAAGGCTAGGTTAAGCGACCAAAAAGCCATCAAGAGTAAAGAAATAATCTGGCTTTAATCTCACCTTGATCCACTGTTTACAGCGGGGGTCATACCTATAAAGAAGATTGGATGCCGCATCCCCTCCATTGTCCCGGGAGAAGCTGCCGCCAGCGATGAAGATGAACCCCCCCAGCACGGCGACACAGTGGTGGCTCCGCCGGGCCGGCAGGGGCGTCTCCTTGACCCACTGCTCGCTCTTAGCGTCCAGGTAGCAGGTGTCATCGCTGAGCTCCAGACACCGCTCGGAGACCTCGCCGCCCACGAAGAGCAGGCGCTCCTCGTTGGTGCGGAGTGCCGTGCGCTTGGTCTGCATGACCGGCTGGGCTGCCAGGTTGTTGTGGTAGCGCACCGCCTCCTCGATGAAGCCCTCGCAGTTGGCCTCCCGCGGCAGCAGCGAGCACACGGCCGGCTTGACGCGGTGCAGCAGGTCGTTCTTGGGGATGAGCGGGAAGTGGATGTTCTCCAGCACCTGGTAGGCATGGGCCTCACGCTCGGGCTGCTGCGTGAGCCACTGCAGGGCGGCCTGCAGCAGGTCGTGCTCGCACTCCCGCTGCACCTCGCTGCTGCTCAGGTAAACACACAGCTTCTGCATGGAGACGTTCTGCAGGAAGTCAGGCGTGAAGGACAGCGTGCCGAAGCGGCTCAGGATGAAGCCGTCGATGAAGGCATCGAGCCGCTTGAGGCTGTAGATGGAGGCCAGCTCCTGTAGGTACAGGTAGTTGTCCTCGCTCACCTCCTGCTCCAGGTACTCACAGCAGAAGTCCACCGCCGTCCAGATCTGCAGCAGGTGGGCCGTCTCCAGGATGTAGTCGATGTTGCCGCCGTCCAGGGCCAGCTCCCCGCCGTACAGGAAGTCCACCACGGCCTTGAGCCCGACGTAGGAGGCGCCGACCAGCTCCACCTCCTTCTGGAAGGCCTCACGCATGCCGATGGTGAACATGGAGTTGAAGTAGTCGCTGCACACGGCCAGCAGGTTGCGGTGGGCCGGCACGCGCTGCTCGTCCGCCACCAGGACAACATCGCAGAAGAGCCCGCGCAGACGCTGCTCGTTCAGCCGCTGCAGCACCGTGCTCGAGTGGTCGGCCCAGCGGTACACCTGCGGCGGCGGAGAGCACGGCTCAGGGGTCAGCTCCCGGGGGGAGCATGCCAAGCCCCTCCCCCCCACGCCCCTGCTCCCCGCTGCAGGGCCCTGGGGTCCATCTCGTGCCCCACGACCAGCACGTACAATACAATGAAAGAGAAGGGGGAACAGCAGATCAGAAAGCCTGCAGGAAGTAAGGGTGTGTGTGTGTGTGTTTAGAAGCGGGACGGTGGCCAAGGCCCGAGAGGAGGGGGCAGTCAAGGCTAGGTTAAGCGACCAAAAAGCCATCAAGAGTAAAGAAATAATCTGGCTTTAATCTCACCTTGATCCACTGTTTACAGCGGGGGTCATACCTATAAAGAAGATTGGATGCCGCATCCCCTCCATTGTCCCGGGAGAAGCTGCCGCCAGCGATGAAGATGAACCCCCCCAGCACGGCGACACAGTGGTGGCTCCGCCGGGCCGGCAGGGGCGTCTCCTTGACCCACTGCTCGCTCTTAGCGTCCAGGTAGCAGGTGTCATCGCTGAGCTCCAGACACCGCTCGGAGACCTCGCCGCCCACGAAGAGCAGGCGCTCCTCGTTGGTGCGGAGTGCCGTGCGCTTGGTCTGCATGACCGGCTGGGCTGCCAGGTTGTTGTGGTAGCGCACCGCCTCCTCGATGAAGCCCTCGCAGTTGGCCTCCCGCGGCAGCAGCGAGCACACGGCCGGCTTGACGCGGTGCAGCAGGTCGTTCTTGGGGATGAGCGGGAAGTGGATGTTCTCCAGCACCTGGTAGGCATGGGCCTCACGCTCGGGCTGCTGCGTGAGCCACTGCAGGGCGGCCTGCAGCAGGTCGTGCTCGCACTCCCGCTGCACCTCGCTGCTGCTCAGGTAAACACACAGCTTCTGCATGGAGACGTTCTGCAGGAAGTCAGGCGTGAAGGACAGCGTGCCGAAGCGGCTCAGGATGAAGCCGTCGATGAAGGCATCGAGCCGCTTGAGGCTGTAGATGGAGGCCAGCTCCTGTAGGTACAGGTAGTTGTCCTCGCTCACCTCCTGCTCCAGGTACTCACAGCAGAAGTCCACCGCCGTCCAGATCTGCAGCAGGTGGGCCGTCTCCAGGATGTAGTCGATGTTGCCGCCGTCCAGGGCCAGCTCCCCGCCGTACAGGAAGTCCACCACGGCCTTGAGCCCGACGTAGGAGGCGCCGACCAGCTCCACCTCCTTCTGGAAGGCCTCACGCATGCCGATGGTGAACATGGAGTTGAAGTAGTCGCTGCACACGGCCAGCAGGTTGCGGTGGGCCGGCACGCGCTGCTCGTCCGCCACCAGGACAACATCGCAGAAGAGCCCGCGCAGACGCTGCTCGTTCAGCCGCTGCAGCACCGTGCTCGAGTGGTCGGCCCAGCGGTACACCTGCGGCGGCGGAGAGCACGGCTCAGGGGTCAGCTCCCGGGGGGAGCATGCCAAGCCCCTCCCCCCCACGCCCCTGCTCCCCGCTGCAGGGCCCTGGGGTCCATCTCGTGCCCCACGACCAGCACGTACAATACAATGAAAGAGAAGGGGGAACAGCAGATCAGAGAGCCTGCAGGAAGTAAGGGTGTGTGTGTGTGTGTGTGTGAGTGTGTGTGTGTGTGTGTGTGGGGGAACAGCAGATCAGAGAGCCTGCAGGAAGTGTGTGTGTGTGTGTGTGTGTGTGTGTGTGTGTCTCTCTCTCTCTATTGTAGCTTTCCTTCTTCCTTTTCAAATGCCAGTCCTGGCTCAGTCGGAAGAAAGAGCAGGAGATTCCTGATCTCAGGGTT